AGCCGCCATCCTCCTCCTGGTCCAGCATCTTCAGCCACGTTAACCACTGCTGTCCTCCTTGCCCCCTCTCATCCATCTGCCCCTCCGTCTCTCGCCTTGAGCAGTTCCCACTCATCTGCCCAGAGTCAGGTGTCTGTCAAGGACATGTCTGAGCGTAAGAAGCCAATGTCACAAAGTCACCCCCTTGCCCGGCGTCTGACAGCTGGCTTGACTGAACTCTTAGCCCGCCAGCTTTTACCATACAAGCTGGTGGAGTCTGAGGCGTTAAAAAAATTTGTAGCTATTGGGACACCGCAGTGGAAGGTACCCGGACGAAATTTATTTGCACAAAAGGCAATCCCCAACCTGTACTCGATTGTGCAAAAGGAAGTAATGGCATGTCTGGCACACAGTGTTGGGGCAAGGGTCCATCTGACCACTGATACCTGGTCTGCAAAGCATGGTCAGGGCAGGTATATCACCTACACTGCGCATTGGGTAAACCTGCTGACTGCTGCCAAGCATGGAATGCATGGCTCTGCAGAGGAGTTGGTGACACCGCCACGACTTGCAGGCAGGCCTGCTGCCACCTCCTCTACTCCTCCTACTCCATCCTCTTCCATAACCTCCTCGGCTGAGTCCTCTTCTGCTGCTGCATCTTGCTCCACATCAACGGCACCCCCCAGCTCCCCAGGTACTATTCCACATCACGGATACGGCAGTGTCACGCCGTCTTGGGGTTGACATGCCTGAAAGCAGAGAGTCACATCGGACCAGCACTCCTGTCCGCCCTGAACGCACAGGTGGATCAGTGGCTGACTCTGCACCAACTGGAGATCGGCAAAGTATTTGTGACAATGGAAGAAATTTGTTGGCGGCATTGCATTTGGGCAAGTTGACACATGTGCCGTGCATGGCACATGTGTGTAATCTGATCGTACGATGCTTTGTGCATAAGTACCCAGGCTTACAGGACGTCCTGAAGCAGGCCAGGAAGGTGTGTGGCCATTTCAGGGGTTCCTACACGGCCATGGCTCACTTTTCAGATATCCAGCGGTGAAAAAACATGCCAGTGAGGCGCTTGATTTGCGACAGCCCGACACGTTGGAATTCAACACTCCTAATGTTTGACCGCCTGCTCCAACAAGAAAAAGCCATTAAGGAGTATTTGTATGACCGGGGTGCTAGGACAGCCTCTGCGGAGCTGGGAATTTTTTTGCCACGTTACTGGACGCTCATGCGCAATGCCTGTAGGCTCATGCATCCTTTTGAGGAGGTGACAAACCTAGTCAGTCGCACCAAAGGCACCATCAGCGACATCATACCATTTGTTTTCTTTCTGGAGCGTGCCCTGCGAAGAGTGCTGGATCAGGCCGTAGATGAGCGTGAAGAGGAAGAGTTGTGGTCACCATCACCACCAGAAACAGCCTTATCAGCATCGCTTGCTGGACCTGCTGCAATGCTGGAAGAGGATTGTGAGGAAGAGGAGTCAGAGGAGGAATGTGGCTTTGAGGAGGAGGAGGAAGACCAACCACAACAGGCATTCAAGGGTGCTCGTTGTCACCTATCTGGTACCTGTGGTGTTGTACGTGGCTGGGGGGAAGAACATACCTTCAGTGAGATCACTGAGGACGAGGAACAGGACATGAGTAGCTCGGCATCCAACCTTGTGCAAATGGGGTCTTTCATGCTGTCGTGCCTGTTGAGGGACCCTCATATAAAAAGGCTGAAGGAGAACGACCTGTACTGGGTGTCCACGCTACTAGACCCCCGGTATAAGCAGAAAGTGCCTGAAATGTTACCGAATTACGGCAAGTTGGAAAGGATGCAGCAGTTCCAAAATCAATTAAAAAGTATGCTTTACACAGCTTATAAGGGTGATGTCACAGCACAATGGGAATCTAACAGGGGAAGAGGTGAAAGTAATCCTCCTCCTCCCACGACCACGCCGGCAAGGACAGGACGCTTTACAGACGTGTTGTTGATGGAGGACATGCAGAACTTTTTAAGTCCTACGCATCGCCACAGCCCTTCGGGATCCACCCTCAGAGAACGACTCGACCGACAGGTAGCAGACTACCTCGCCTTAACTGCAGATATCGACACTCTGAGGAGCGATGAACCCCTTGACTACTGGGTGTGCAGGCTTGACCTGTGGCCTGAGCTATCCCAATTTGCGATAGAACTTCTGGCCTGCCCCGCTTCAAGTGTCCTGTCAGAAAGGACCTTCAGTGCAGCAGGAGGTATTGTCACTGAGAAGAGAAGTCGCCTAGGTCAAAAAAGTCTAAATTACCTCACCTTTATTAAGATGAATGAGGGATGGATCCCAAAGGGACTGACAGTGGGCGATACATTCGACTAAAAAAGGCCTGATGAGGGGGACGTAACAGGGTGTCGTGGCTGCTATTTAAATCCCTAGCTCACCCCAGTACCTTGCCCTGTCGTGGTTTCCTGTTCCTGGTTTCCTGAGAGTGCTTTATCATTGTGAATCTGATTTCCTGGTATCCTGATCTTGGCTTTTCCCTGGTTATTCTGAATTCTGGTTTCCCTGACTTGGCTTGTGTAAACGGTATTGTGTATTTTCTGGCTTCCTTGACATCATCTTTCCCTTTGACCATTCTCTGTCTCTAGCGTATTAGTCCGGCCATTCTAAGGTCCGGTTTACGCTCTGTCCTTTTATTTTCCTTTTCTTGCCTATGTATATGTTTACATAGTTTCTGTGTGCTGGACCACACTACTAGTCGTGACATTGGGATTAAACTGATAAGAATAGTACTACACACAGCACCCCCAGACACACACAGCACCCTCAGACGCACACAGCACCCCCTGACGCACACAGCACCCCCTGACGCACACAGCCCCCCACAGACGCACCCAGCACCCCCAGACAGACAGCACCCTCAGACAGACAGCACCCTCACTCCCACACATATACAGCACACATATATATATTAAATAAAATAACCCTCAGCATGAAGCATCGTGCCCATGCAGGGACCGTTATAGGGTTGCAGGGTTTATACATCAAAACTCTTTTGATCGTGGCCTGCATAGAGGCTGTGTTTTTGCGATCTCGGTCAGCCCTGAGACCGGTGCTTTCAACGTGGTACTCAGTATGGGGTGGGGTGCGTCTTGTGTGTCTTAGGTGATTCGGGTTCGCCTACTTGGCCGTCTGGTGTGTATGGATAGCTACTGTTGTCTGAGGAGTCGCATGTTAGGACGTATGTCGGGTCATCTGCATTTAAGTGGGTTGATGTGTGTTTGAGGAGCGTGTATGTGAAATGCTGTGTGGTTAGGGCATGCGGCCGACTCTTGTCCTCGGCTCTGTGTTCAATTTCACTGCTGAAAGTAGGTGTGTGGTGGGAAGGTCAGCTTCCCTGGTCAACAGTCGGTCTAGGTCCGTGTCTTAGGTAGAGGGACAGGGAGGGTGGTGGAGTGGGAGAGGGGAGGGGGAAGAGAGCTGCACTGAGGGGGAGAGGGGAAAGAAGGCGAGGGGAGAGGAGGAGAAGGTGGTAGGGGAGAATGTTTTGTCGCTCCTGCATGTGCGGTTTCCCCAGTCACCGCTCCAGTTCCCTCCGCCCCAGGGGCTCTCCCAGTATCTGCCTGGGCGTTCCGTGCTTGTGTACCTGTCGTTCAGGTTGTGGTTAGCAGCTGTACGAACTCGTTTGAGGAGATATGTCTCAGCCAGTTTCAAATCTATTTGTACATTTCAAATATCTCTTTCTTATCTCTTAATGATTCTCGATAGAGACACCTGCTATAATTAGGTAATAAAATCATAATGTAGTAGATCTGGGCCATAGAGACTTCCCTCCAGTCTCAACTGTGTAAATGCTCAATTTTCTGAGAAAATGCAGTGTTTACACTGCTGCCTATGTCCACCTCTAGTGACTGTCACTCTGCTTTTGTCAAATCCTGCAAAAGATTGCAGGACCAACTTCCAGCATCTCCACACTCTGCATTGAGACAATGAATGCTCCCCATAGAGGTGCACTGATTCAATCCATCTCTATGAGGAGATGCTTATCGATGCGTCAATTTACTGAGCAATGTCAAAGCATTGGATTGGCTGAGATCAACCAAATAGGTAAGTTTGCATACCTAATGCTAATGTGCTCCTTTAAGATCAAAATAGCAAAACTGGAAACATTCTCTAAGTCAGATATGCTTTCAGTTTGGCTACTGTGGCCTTCAAAGAAGACAAACATGAGCACTTGTTTTTATATAATGATCTTTTCATCAAGTATTGAAAGTAAAAATAATTCATTCATAAATGTTAGAAAAACTCATTACCTTTAGTATATGCCAAAATCATGCAGCTATATCAGTGGCACCTTGGGTTAGACAGTTTTTGACCATAGTCTCTATGGTCTCTATACATCAGATTAAATCCGTTAAAAACACTGACAGAGCATGTCAAATTCAACCTCAGAGATTCTAAAAGCTGTGAGCTGCTCAAGGGAGACTCTCAGGGTCCGAACAAGTCCAGACAGCAGTTCAGCGCCAATCACAGTGCGATTGACAGGGAAGGCATGATAGAGATTCAGCATTAGAGGAAGATCTCTTTGTCATGCTAAAAATAGCCAGTAGATGGTGGTCACAGACAACGCTCTACTGTTTTTACTAGAAAATCCTTTTACTGAGAAGGAATTCCTTAGGGTTACTTAGGTAGGGTTACTGTTAGGAGTAGGGTTAGGGTAAAGTAAGGGATAATGCTGTTTTAGGGATATGGAAAATGTAGAAAATGTAGAGTTGGCATACGGTTAGAGTTAGGGTAAACACAGGGCTATCACAGCATTGATGTGAGAGAGTGGTAGAGGGTTAGCGTTAAATACCAAAATTGGTGGTGACCTGCAGAACCACTCCTTTATTGGGGGTGTCTTGCTAATTGCCTATAATTTCCACCTGTTGTCTACCCCATTTGCACAACAGCATGTGAAATTGATTGTCACTCTGTGTTGCTTCCTAAGTGGACAGTTTGATTTCACAGAAGTATGATTGACTTGGAGTTACATTTTGTTGTTTAAATGTTCCCTTTATTTTTTTGAGCAGTGTGTGTGTATATATATATATAAATATACACACACACTGCTCAAAAAAATAAAGGGAACATTTAAACAACAAAATGTAACTCCAAGTCAATCACACTTCTGTGAAATCAAACTGCTTCATATATAAATACATGAAAAAAACGGCTTGCACCCACGGATTTGAAAAAGTGAAACAGGAATCTCTTTATTCAAATAACTGTCATAACATCGTCACACCAACGTTTCAGCCCTCGTCCGAGGCTTTCCTCAGGATGAACTGACGATACCACACTAACCACCAATACTGTATTATATACCCCATAACAAAAAGAAATTAACTCACCGCAGGTGAAGTGGACCGGAGTGTCGGCATCTCCCCCGACCTTGTGCACATGTACCAGCATGAGAAACCCAGAAGTGCTGTATGCAGACGTAACCAGTTGCTATGGTTACGCGGCAACACCAAACACTCTGTGGAAACACGGAACAGACACCAAATTATATATAGCAGGCATGTGCATGGGGAAAATATTCAGGTCGGTTCACCATTCTGAAATTGGTAACTCCGGCACTTTGGAAATTCTGCATTTCGGGACTTCTCTTACAGCAGCTTGGTAGATAACTCCCTAATTCCCACGGTATTAGGGAGTTATCTACCAAGAGGCTGAAAGACTTAAATTGGTCTTCAGCCAAATTTACTAATACTAAGTAAAAATTACTTAGTATTAGTAAATTTTGCCCCTACTCGCTATATCGCAAGTAGGGGCATGTCTATTAAACAGCCTGTGGCTGCTCACTGTTAAAAAAATAAAAATAGGGTCCCCCCTCCCTATCACCCCCCCCGACCTCCACCCTGAGTGGTGGGTGGGGGCCCCAAATAAAAATTGGGGGGGAACTAATGTCCTCCTCCCTGGCCCCCATCCCTGAGTGGTGGGTGGGGGCCCTAAACTAGAATAAGGGGGGGACCTAATGTCCTCCTCCCTGGCCCCAACCCCTGAACGGTGGGTGGGGGCCCTAAGTACAAATTGGGGGGCCCTAATGTCCTCCCCCTGGCCCCCACCACTGAGCGGCCCTAAACTAGAATAAAGGGGGGTGACCTAACGTCCTCCCCCTGGCCCCCACCCCTGAGAGGTGGGTGGGGGTCCTAAATACAAGTTTAACCCCCCCAGGTGGCTAGGGTTCCCCAAACCTCTAGTTACCCACCTCCCCAAAAAAATGAAGCCCTACCAACCCCCATCACCCTAAAAATAATGAGGGAGGACACCTTTAACTAAGTACCTGTAAAAATAAACTTACCATTTGATGTTTTCTTTCTTCTAAAATCTTCTTTTTTCAACCCCAAAAAAGGCCAAATAAAAATCCATAATAACCGACGCAATTAAAAAAACAAAAAAAAACAACCCGAGCGCCAGAAAAAAAAAATCCATCTTCACCCATGCAGACTGAGCTTATAAAGCCTTGCCCCGCCCTGCAATTAGGCTCAGAGCACTCTGATTGGTGGGTTTAAGCCATCCAATCAGAGTGCTCTGACAGGTAAATGAAGAGACTGACAGGTAAGTCTCTACATTTACCTGTCACAACACTCTGATTGGTTTGTTTGAAATCCACCAATCAGAGTGCTCTGTGTCATTTTAAAGTTATTTGGAATTTTCCCACGCTGTGTAATTTGACTCATAACACTCTGTCTGGTTACTTAATCCACCAATCCACCCCTTTAGTTTAAAAGCCCCCACTTGCACGTCGCGGGTGGGGGCTAAGGAGGGGGACCTTTTTTTTTTTTTTTTTAACAGTGAGCATCCACAGGCGATATAGCGAGTAGGGGTATAATTTACTAATACTAAGTAATCTTTAGTAGATAGCTCCCTAATACCGTGGGAATTAGGGAGTTATCTACTTATTCATTCCTGTCATTACATTGACTGGCCAAGTAACTTACATTTTATATGAATGTGTGTTACTTGATTGTTGTAAGTGTTGCAAATGCTTACAGCTGAATAATGGCTATGTTTGTATATTTTTTATTTCAAATTTTATACAATGTAACATTCTTCTTTCACTGGGTAAGTATATTAGTACTTAGGCAATACGGAACTTCAGCACCTCGGAACTTCAGCACTTTGACACCTCAGAACTTCAGCAACTTCAGAACTTCGGCACTTCGGCACTACTACACTTCGGAAATTCAGTAATTTTGGCACTTCGGGACTTCAGCTATTCGGACATTCGGAAGCACCCGAATGTCCGAATTTCCCGAAATTTGGCCGAATTTTGATTCGGACCGAAACGAATTGCAGATGTCTAATGTATAGTAGTAAAGCCACCAAGTGCCAGATCAGAATCGCCAAAGTACTATATATACTAAGCCCCAATATCCTTGTATAGAAGACACCATCTAGTTAGAAAATCATGCACATACTCCCTTTGTAAACACTGATACAGAGGTTATTCCATAAAGGGGATATTTCTATAAGTAACAGAATCAGACTACTCATAACATATCGGATATAATGTGCAGAGTAAACAGACCTAGCATCCAATTTTAAAGGAATACCGTGCTAAAAAATAAGGAAAAAGCCCATAAGATATGTGAACATAAAAAAAACAGAACAGCCATCTCCAAGCTAGAGTCGCTGCTCAATGCTATACACATATGCATAGTAATAACATTGCCACAAAATAGTAACATTTTTGTCAGAAAAGGCAACTTGTCAGATAATTTCTCCTCAAACTCTGCAAAAAGAACATGGGACCTAGTACACAAACATAAATATAGTACAGGGGACAAAAAACTTAAAGTTTAAGTTACCAATAAACATAAAAATAAAAAATAAAAACTTTGTTGTGAAGCTGGTTTCCTCAAACAGATGTTTAGATGTAGCCTTAGAATTATATGAAGGGATGATAGGATATTAGTTCATTTAGTCCACGTGGGGACATTGTATTCAGTTCAAAGATCCAAAATGTCTCTTTCCATAACAACATCTTGCTGCCCCCCTAAGTGGTTGCGGTATATGGTTGATAGCAACGAATTTGAGTGTGGCCAGGGGGTGACCCAACTCCCAAAAATGTTTTGCCACCGGTTTGTCTGAATGGCCATCACGATAGGCTGTGCGTATATTGGACCTATGTCCTCTAATGCGTTCGCATAGTGGGGTGTCTGTTTTGCCTATATAGGCTTGCCCTCAGGGGAAGGTGATTTTGTAAATGACAAACGAGGTCCGACATGTTATAGTGTACCGTATGTTGTAATGTTTATTGTTATGTGGGTGATTAAAGGTACGTGACAGGACCATATGTCCACATGTCATGCAACTGAGACATCTAACACTTCCCCTAATTTGGATATTATGCTCATTTTGATAGCTCAAAACTGGATCAGTCCTCACGAGCATGTCACAAAGGTTCCTGTTTCTGTGATAGCAGATCATGGGTGTTTCCTTGAAGGTAGGTGGTAAAGAAACATCTGCTGTCATCATATTCCAATTTTTCTTCACTATATTGGTAACTTGGCTGGCCCTATTGTGATACGTCATAGAGAAAACTAGCCTATATGGCCAGTGGCGTACATACCAGGGTCACAGGGGTCGCGGCTGCGACCGGGCCTGGCCCACCAGGGGGCCCGGTCGCCCCTGCGACCCGGTATGTACGCCCAGGGCCAGCCTCTTCCCCTGGGGGGCCCAGGAGCCGACCACCCCAGGGTCCCCCGAGGCTGGCCCTGCTGACCCCAGCAGGCAGGTGGCCAGTCGGGCAGGCGGGTGCGCGAGGGAGCACTCAGTGCTTCCTCTTCAGCTCCCTCGCGCACCGCACTGATACCGGAGCCGGAAGATGACGTCATCTTCCGGCTCCGGCATCCCTACGCGGTGCGCGAGGGAGCTGAATAGGAAGCACTGAGTTCTCCCTCGCGCACCCGCCTGCCCGATCGTCCACCTGCCCAGGAGCCCAGCAGCACCACTGGACCCCAGGGAATCCCCCCAGCACTCCAAAAGGTAAGGAGGCTGGGGGGGATTAAATTTGAAAAAAAATGTGTGTGTTATTGTGTGTGTGTTAGTATGTGTGTGTGTGTGTGTTAGTATGTGTGTGTGTTAGTGTGTGTGTGTGTTAGTGTGTGTATGTGTGTGTTAGTGTGTGTATGTGTTAGTGTGTGTGAGAGTGTGTGTGTGTTAGAGTGTGTGTGTGTTAGTGTGTGTTAGTGTATGTGTGTGTTAGTGTGTGTGTTAGTGTATGTGTGTTAGTGTATGTGTGTGTTAGTGTATGTGTGTTAGTGTGTGTGTGTTAGAGTGTATGTGTTTTAGTGTGTGTGTGTTAGTGTGTGTGTGTTAGAGTGTGTGTGTGTTAGTGTATGTGTGTTAGTGTATGTGTGTGTGTTAGTGTATGTGTGTGTGTTAGAGTGTGTGTGTTAGTGTATGTGTGTGTGTTAGTGTGTCAGTGTTTGTTTGTGTTAGTGTGTCAGTGTTTGTTTGTGTTAGTGCGTGTGTTAGTGTGTGTGTCAGTGAATGTGTCTGTTATTGGGTGTGTGTCTGCTAGTGAGTGTGTTACTGTGTGTGTCTGTTACTGAGTGTGTTTGATGTCTGTTAGTGAGTGTGTGTTTGTCAGTGAAAGTGTATGTATGTCTGTCGCTGAGTGTGTCTCTGTCAGTAAATGTGTGTCTGTTAGCTAGTGTGTATGTGTCTGTTCGTGAGAGTGTGTGTGTCTTCAGCATTTACCTTTCTCCAGCGTCGGACTCCCCAGTGTCTGCCACTCAGCTCCGAAATGCACATGCGCGGCAAGAGGCGCGCGCGCGCATTTAAACCGCCCATAGGAAAGCATTACTCAATGCTTTCCTATGGGCGTTCAGTGTCTTCTCACTGTGATTTTCACAGTGAGAATCGCGGAAGCTCCTCTAGCCCCTGTCAATGAGACAGCCACTAGAGGCTGGATTAACCCTCAGTGAAACATAGCCGTTTCTCTGAAACGGCTATGTTTTCAGCTGCAGGGTTAAAACTAGAGGGACCTGGCACCCAGACCACTTCATTGAGCTGATGTGATCTGGGTGTCTGTAGTGGTCCTTTAAGTGTGTGTGCATACCGCGGTCGCGGGGTCGCAGCCCTGCAACCCCTGTGACCAGGTGCCCGCCACCATGTGTTGCGACCCCGACCCGCGCTGAGTAAGCGCGCGGGGGGGGCCCACGGATCAATTTTTGCACCGGGGCCCCATGGGTCATGTGTACGCCACTGTATATGGCACTTTGAGACTTGTTCTGGCGTGTGCATTCTTTGCTTTCTCCAACACCTTTTCCAAAGCGAGTTTGCCATACCCAGGAATTTGTTGGTCATCTCACTGATCTGCTGTTGCATAACTGAATTGTCAGAGTTATTGCGGATCACACGGCAATATTGTGCAAAAAGTATCAATTGAATCAATGGTTTAGGATGAGCACTATTGTGATGCAATATGGTGTTACAATCTGTTGGTTTGAAGCATAGGCTATAAGAGAGCCCTTGGTTTACAACAGCTATTTCCAAATCCAGAAATTGTATTTTTTCTGTGCTGATGTGCGCTGTGAATCTGACAGGTAAAGGCAGGTGGTTAAGATAATCGACCATAGCATGTGCTTGGGGTACCGTCCCCCTCCATAAAATCAACACATCGTCGATGTACCGAAAGTATTGAACAATATGTTGTTGAAATCCAGAAAAAATACTTTCAATTTCATAAGTGTACATGAAGGCATTAGCATACATGGGTGCCATTGTAGCACCCATGGACGTACCTGATGTTTGCATGACCCAATCGTTTTCAAAACAAAAATAGTTGTGTGTTAATGTAATATATATATATATATATATATATATATATACACATATACACACACTCTGCATCCAATACACACACACACACACTGCATCCACTTTAAACACACAATGCATTAACTTTTGTGGGTAGACTCGGGGGCAAGCCCCGAGTGGGCCCAGGCTTTGAGCTGTTTAGGTGTCCCAAAATTTGTGATGGCAGTCCTGACTGCAGCAATTGTTTGTAGACTGTGCATGGAAACTGGCTAAGCATTGAGGTAAGTGAAGCCAACTTTTTTTTTTTTTTTTTATTCTTTATTTTTCGTGTTAGTCAATACGCAAAGCAATCATACAAAATATACAAAAGAATACATTTAGGGGCGGGGCCTAGCCGCTGAACAGAGAGGATGCAGAACAGCATGGCTCCTGCTTTTCGAGGCACAAATCGCTACATACAGGCCACAAATGGCCCTCAAATGACCCAAAAGGGTCACCAATCGAGAGGTGAACTAGCAGGGCTCATAATGACACCAAACATGATGCCATCCCTGCAAAAATCATCGGCACCTTCCTCTGCATACCTCGCAGTAGAAGAGAGCACAAAAATGGCGCCTCTGAAAGCAAAACCCACAGCAAGGGAGCAGACCCACGCGGCCCCAGCCACAGACCGCCACCTCCTCAAGCACGAACAAGGCGTCTACACTCAAACACACCACCAAGCTTTGGCCCAACAAGAGACCCACAGACCTGACCAGCAGTTCCAGAGGAGGCGGCCCAGAGCAATACACCCTCTTGCATGCCGAGGGCTGGAAGTATCCCTCGCCCTGTTGCGCTACAGTAGAAACAAGCGGCCTACGGCACCCACCTGCTACCACCCTCCCATCCCTGGGCATCGGTTGAACTGTGCTACTCATGGACTGCACTCGCACACTACAGGTATACAGAGCGGCGCGGTCAATGCGGAATGACCTCCCCGTGATGGCTGAATGAGATGGAGGCAATGTCGCACTACCTTTGGGCACCTGATGAGTGGACACTGAACTTTGCGGCAGCCTGGCTGATCTTGTGAGGTCCCTGCAGGGCATAATGCCCGATAAGTTTCTGTTAAAATATGTTTTATTTTCCTTTTCTTTTAAGCTATTATAGATCATCGACCGGTTGCTATGCCCTACAATGATGCCTGCCTATTGTTTATGTGCTGACACACACTAACTCAATAATAATATAATATCTAACAAGCAATAGGACAGGAAATAGACCTAATAATCTAAGCATGAACAAAACTGTATTTCTGATATATGAGTAAGACTACTAGACTAAGCTTGTTTCCCTTAAGTTTAATAATTGTTTAAGTCAAATAATTGCTAAAGTGTGCCAGGCATAGAACAACAACCACCTGTTAATAAGCATCACTTTTAACAACTCGCATACTTTTAACATTGATCGCATGTATTAGTATGCATACCTACTTATAAAAAAATGTGCAGCTTAAACCTGTCATGACAATGTTTACGTTGATATACCTGTGACTGCTGTCGTGGCATAACAGGCATGTTTGTAACACATAATGCACATAATGCACAACAAAAATAAAGAATTTTAAAAAAAAAGAATACATTCAGGTTGTTTGTATATAGAAAACTTAAACTTGGCAGGCATGTATGACAACTATCGATGAGTTGAGGCACATTTTTTCTGGTAACGAAGGACAGGTAAGGTTGAAAACCGGGATTAGCTTTGTTTGGGTTGTGTGAGAGGGTTTTAACAGTGTGCCTGAGATACTCCATGCAGGAGTTTGACAGGATTCGTGGGTGTTCCAGTGAGGGCAAGTTCGAATGCACAGGAGTTATGTGGTTTACTGAAACATGTGGGAGTTCAGGATGCCAATATTGTTTGTGCCTTATGACTAAGGAGCCTTCTAATTATGTGTCAATATGGTGGGTAGTTAGCTATAAGCCCCATAGAGAGAGAGAGAGAGAGAGAGCGAGAGAATAGGCATCCGTGTTGGTTACCTCTAACCTAGGTGGTGGCGTGGGGCTCAGGGAAGTGGAGGTGGGTAGTAAAGCACCATCTTGCCTAATGTGGCTTATGATTTGTGGTCATGGTGGTTTAGATTGTCGCAGCTTAATGCTGCAGTGTTTCCCGCTAATTGCTCTAGGAGATAGGTCATTTCTGTGCCTGTGAACTTGGTAAGAAGGTTGTAAAGCATAGGGAGTGGTTTTCAACAGCAATAAACAATAAACATAAAGAAAAGAGAAAGTAAATTCAAATCATAACATTAGCACAGCATTTGTGCAATCTGGCCTCCTTGAGTGGTCTTGTGTGGGCAGTGCAGTCCCCAGGTTATTCAGGTGACCGGGTTGGATCGTTGGTGTCTCCACCAGTCCATAGGGTGGTGCCATCTGATTCTCTTGGCTGATTATTGCCCGCTTGTGACAGAGGCACTGAGACTACCTTTATCACAACCACTAAGAAGGCAGAAGCCCCCAATGGCTGTAAGAGAGTGGGCAGTCCCTTAACAGTGCACAAAGAGAGAGCCAGTATGCCCCCATCTGAAGGGTGTTCCTGCTTGTCACCAGTCCGAAGGTCTTGCGCCATAGTAGGGTGACTCTAGTGAGGTCTTGGAAAAATAGCAATAGAGAGATTTCAAAGGCCAAAGGTATCTTGCCTTTCAGGGCCATCATGATTTGGATCTTATCATGCACAGTGACACAGCGCAGTATGACATCTCTCGCCATTGTGGCCTCAGTGCGTGCAGTGCCAGTTACATGGTATATTTCATCTAGGACAATTTTCTTGGCTGTGGCTTGTGGCAGGAGTGTAGAGAACAGGCGCCTGATATAGTGTGGCAGCTCTTTGGTTGAGACCGTGGGGGTAACCCCCATATTTTGATGTGTGTTCTACGTTGTCTGTCCTCCATGAACATTATTTGAGCAGCCAGCATGTGTTAGTAGCTTGGTATGCCCCTAAAATCTATTTTTAAGGCGGGGTATTTGGTGAAACCCCTGCCATTATCCAGTTTGAGACACTTCGCTATAAGTCGGACTCCCTCACCCCTGGGTGTTGCAATAGGCATACCAGACCATTTTAGCCAGCATGTGTTGTTCAGCTTGGAGGCGCATCACAGAGTCCTGAAGGTTGGTCACTGTGTTTTGTACGTCTGTCACAGTGTCCTCTGTCTTTTTGACACGGTCAGTGACTTGTTGTATGTCCACTTTAACCAGGGCGAGGTCTGCTGCCAGCTTCTTTTGTATGTCAGCAAATAAGATTTTTAGGTCGCGTTTGGTTGTTGGGGCTGTATCATCTGGGGACCCCTCAGGTAAGGCTGAGTCTGCCTGAGGGGTCTCAGAGGCGCCAGGCTCCCAGCTCTCTGGGCCCGGGGCTGTTATGGGGTCTCCGCTAGCGCCGGTCATTTCAGCATTTTGCCAATATCCCTACCGGGTGTGATGGCTCCTTGAGCGTGAGGCGGCTAATGTTCGGCGTGTTGGCCGGGGTGCCAGGCAGATGTTGCTCCACAGCGGTTCGCACTGCTCCCGGTCCGCCGAGTAGGACCTTGAGGCCTAGTAGTGGTGCTGCCTGGTAGGCCCCTGTCTTGCGCCTCCGTCCAGGCTGCTTCGGTGCCTGAATGAAAGGCACCAATCTGTTCCTCTAGCACTCAGGGTAAAGTTGGAACCAGTCGTGCAGCTGGATGGATGCGGGTTAGTGAGATATCACACTGGATTGCACATGCTGTGAGGGAGGTAGCAGAGATGGCGTCCGCTCAGGTTGGTTGGCAAGCTCAGCCCTCCAAGTGAAGCCAACTTTCAACGTGTAAAAGCAAGATGCTCAGAGTGAGCATATGACTGATTTTAATTCAATCGAAAAGGCAGGTGGAGGAGGAGGGGGATTATTAAAAACAAGAGGAGAAGGCAATAAGCTGTATACTGCCTCTAATCTATTAAAAACAAATATGTAAATACCAAATTAAACTGTGTGTGTCAATTTATATTTTTTCTGACCCTCCCAGCGTTACTTCTAAACACCATCACGCTTACCCACATCTAGGGGAAGAAAAAAGAGAATACAGAAACTTCTGCCTTTCTATTCTACAGATGTAGTCGGCTCAGGAAATTCCACGTCCTCACTTGCTTTCTATGTTGTTAAATAAACACTTCAAGGACCATGACCACTACAGTCTGACGTATTAGTTAAGGTATCAGGAGTGCACTGGTGCTGTCCCATGGTAAGAAGTCAAACTGGTTTAGCAGAGTGTGATAACTTATTCAGATCAGCCAGGCGCCAGGCCCACATATGCTGCATCCAGTCTTCTCCAACAGGAACTGCTGGATTGCCCTATAGAGCTAAGTGGGACCATGTATTGACTGAGAGCATCAGTTTAGCATTCACAGACAACAAGTCCAGTATTAGCCATGCTGTAGGCCAGGGGTAGGCAACCTTTTAGCAGCACTGTGCCGATATGGAATTGTGGTGTCCTGTAGCGTGCCGGTCCTTTTTTTTTTTTTTAAGTGAGGTGTGTATGCTGCCGTATTCTGCTTGTGTTATTTTTACTATGATTGCTTTGTATTGTTGTATTTGTGTGTATAGGAGCTATCATATTGTATATGTTCAGGAGTAGTTTATGGTATCGTCTATGATACATATGAATGTGGGCTGTGTTTGGGGGTTGCCTGTGGAATTGTGTGTGGATGGAAATGTCACATTGTGTGTTTGGTAGTGTGTGTATGTATGGGGCTGTTTGGGGTATTGCATGTGAGAAGCTGCATGTGGGGTTGTGTGCATGTATGTGGATTGTTAGTGGTGTTGAGTTTGTGCGGATTGTGTGTGTTTGTTTGTGGGCTGATTATTTGTATGAGTAGAGGGTTATTCTGCATTTCTGTGTATATCTAGCAGTGTGTATGTGGCTTCCCAGGTACAGGTCAAGAACAGGAGCTGCAACAGCAGCTGCAGCCTGATCTCCTACAAATCCGAGATCACTTCCTCTATGTGCTGCAATGCATAAATTGAGGATTGTCTTTCACCACCTTTTCGTATTAGCAGATATCTAACATTTTACTGGGACTGCTGATAGGCCTGAGCCTGTTTGGCTCTAGCAGCCTTGAGTGCCGTGCAAAGACACCTCGAGTGCCGTGCATGGCACTAGTGCCATAGGTTGCCTACCCCTGCTGTAGGCAAACAGCAGGGTTGGGGTGGTGAGGTTTAAATTAGTTTGAGAACATATCTATAAGTGAGTTATTTATGTGTGTGGCTGATTGAGCGTGTGCATTGACAGTGTCTATAGTGTGTCTGTAATAAAGAGTATTGGAGAAATAAGACATGGCTTTGCCTACGGCCTATACATTACTGGAACTTGCGACCACGTGATGCAGCCTATCATTAAAGTCACTTGGCACAGGCACGACTAAGTGTGTTGCACAGAATGGCTGTGTGCTCAACCTGGTATATCAAATCAAGAGTGTGTAGGAAGTGCAGTGAGAGTGGTACACACAGGAGCGACTTATAACTGCAATTAAAAAGACAGCAACAAATTAAAAACAAAAATAAAAATTCATGTATTCTCTATATCTGGTAGGATCTATGCTATCTGATTACTAAATCTTCTTATGGTCATTGATATTTTTTTTAGACTATAAAAGAGTACAAATATGGATAGCACAACTTGGAAGGAATTGTTAAGTCCATGATATTGAGTGATAAGAAGAAAGTGGACCTGAAAGTATTTATGGACCTGATAAATTCCAAACAATAAATGCGAGAATTATTTCTGGCAGGATTGGCCTACCCTAACACAAGCCTAAGTATATAAAAGGATGATATTTGTCAGATATTAGTCAGAATGTCTACAATAAGACACAGAATAAACATTAACAAGCCAAGGTCAGGGATTACAGAGGTATACAGAAACAAACAAGCCAAGGTCAGGGATTACAGAAATTAAGAATGGTCAGACAAACCAAGATCAAAAAACAGA